TTCTACAAGCATTGTCTTGGCTCCGACACCATGTCCTGGCTGGCGCTGCCGACAAGGGGGTCAAGTAAAAACCTGGCTGGACAGTGCATTCGAAGACGTCGACCAACTTGGCCTTCGGATGGTGTACGACACTCGGCGATGGAAAACAAACTGGATCAACACTTGTAATGATCTTGCAGCTAACCGCCAAGCATGGATAGCGGCCATCAGAGACATTTATGGAGCCAACTTATCCTTCCCAAGGAGACAGTCGTAGTGAAGTGTTCAAAAAATAATGCCTTTAGAAGTCTCTTGGAATGTTCAAGCATGCCACATGCTTCTATTATGCTTGAAAAAAGAATTTCGGTCGACGGAGTCAAAGGTGAGGCATAAACCGATGAAGCAGTATATCATTCACTGTTGAACCTTCTAGCAGTGTTTCGGGATAAACGGCCCCTGGCATGGCGGAAGCCGACGTGGTTTGAGTGGGTGCGAACATCTTTTGCTGCCGCGAAGGAATTAAGCGATATCACTGCGAGCAGTGTGGCTACTGTGTCAATCAGACTGATGCTTGCGTAGTTCTCATACACAGTCTTGTCATAATTTATGACAACTGGCAAATTAGGCCGGATAACTAGACCGTCTAACTCGAGCTTGTGGATGGCGACGCTCCTAGAGACTGCGGAGTATTCTAGAGTCAGTTCTCGAACACTTCGATCGCTTTTTGACTTGGAAATAGATCTATCAAGGATCAAAGTTGTTTTGACCGTGACCATTGAACTATGAAAGTTTAGTTTTCAGCCGAAACAACCATTAAACATGGACCTTCGTTGGAGTACCCATTTGGATACAGTAGAAGGAATAAGTAGAATGTTAGAAGTAGTTTCAATGTAAAGATAGCAAAAACAGGTAGACCGAGGTTACAAGGATATTAAGAAGATGCACGAGAGTCATTGTTTAGGACACCCGATGTAACTTAATATCGACTGCACTGAAAGTGTACTCCCCGTCCAGAAGGCCTCGTGTAAGTTATATAACTGAGTCTTCTGGTCAAGCTTTTCATCCACTTATGCCAGGTATTAGTTTGACTAACTTTGACCCAGTATCTACCTCAGCAAACAGCACAGATCGGTAGTCTATTCGGTAACATGCGTTATATATTCCCCAGTCAACGTAATCTATGAGGATCGAGCATCTGCTTCAATGGGCAACCGCGATTAGATTAACCTCTTTGCCTGCCCTCAGCATTGCTGGTTCGGTTGCTCAATCAGACTCGTGCAAAGAGACGAAAACAGTGCTGCTTGAATCACGATAGTTTACCTTCAGGCTGTTCTCTGTACCACACAGCAGTACCAGTCGAACTGCTGTGGCGTACACTTAACCCTTCACAGATAACCGAATGTTGCGACGGCGACACAGGCGGCGCAAGTTGGCCCTTTGCATGCGTGCTGACACTTTGTGTGATGCGTCCACCGGGTGAGGTATAGCTGCCCAAATAGCAAACTTTGTTCATCATCTCTATCTCCTTCCCAATCACGGTGAGGTTGGCAGTTGGACCAACTCAGTCCAGTAACAACACTTCAATCTTCGAAGATACAGAACTCATCCTAAACATGACGGAACTGGTGTTCAAATGATCAGGAAAAGCTTGCAACGTACCTGGATCTGTACTCAGCAGTACAATGTCGTTTGCATATTCCAGATTAGATAAATTGTCACATGGGAGCATATTGACCCTATTACTAGACAGGAGAAAATAGGTGTTTCCAGAATCACGTCCATTACAAAGTTGAGTTAAACTAGAGGGCATCCCAAACGAATACAGCTTTCCGTGGCGAACTCGGGCGTAAAGGTGCCGTAAGCCCAAACTGGGCTTCGGGCATTAGTATACAGGAATGGCAATACTGAAATAAACTTCTCGAGTATATCCTTCAATAAGAGACGTCACCACAGTACTGAGAG